CCGGACCTGCTCTCCTGCGTGTCCCGATGAAAAAGGCCATTGTGTGCGGGGCTTCTGCAGCTCTCCCCTTGGTGGCCTCCCGTCCCAGAAGGCTGCCCCCCCCCCCGTCCCCTCTCTAAGGCACTCTGTGGGTGGGGGGAGCGGGCAGGGAGGAAATCAAGTTTGACTCCAGGTGAAGTGTGCTTGGAAGACAAAGAAGGGGCCTTCTCCTTGGTATACTTGGCTGTGTCTGTTTGCCTGATAGACCCCAACATAAGCTTACTTCTGCCGGACACAGCCGTCTCACGGGACCCTGCCTCCAGCTGTGCCAGCTCGCCCCCGTGCGGGGCGGGGGCTCCCCTTCTCTCTGACCCTCCCGCCTGCTTCTGTCTGTGCCTTGGGCTCATTTTCTTGAGTCCCCTGGGTTATTGGACATTCAGCTATAGGAGCGCAGGGCTGCTGCGCTTCGTTGTAGTGCCTGATAAACTGCCAGTGCCCTCGGCTACTTCTGGGGTGACTCAGGGGTCAGAACCAAGGGCGGAGGTCTGGCCAGGAGTCGGAGGGAGGGACAAAGCGTCTGTCTTCTCCAGACTCACAGGGGCCACCCCGTGCCCACGTCCTGGTTGCAGAATGGACTGATGCAGGAGCGTGAGTGGGAAATCTGCCTCCCCGAGGTGCACCTGTGCTCGGTTGTCGGGGCCCTCGGTGGGGCAGCCGAGGTGGTGGGGTAGCTGCACCCTGCCCCCTTAGTTAGGAAGGTTGTTGAGAACTGGAATGGGAAAACACGGGCGATTACTTTTTCACTCCACCGAATCTGTGGTCGGAGGACCTCGGAGGTGGGAATCGCGCTGGCAGGTCGGCGTTACGGTTCGTGTGCGTGAGTCGCACTGCGCCCTGCAGTAGTACAAGTGAGGGCGGGGCTTGCTGTCTGCATGGAGGCTCAGTACTCTCCGTGCGCCTGTGTGTGTGTGTGTGTGTGTGGGAGAGAGATCTGAGTAGCTTCAGTCTTGGTGGTGCAGGCTGGCCTTGCGGCCCAGTGCGTGGGAAGCGCCTGTGGTTGGGCCTCTTTGTCTCCGCCATCATAGCCACCCCTGTCGCCTAAGCCACGCTCATCCCCGCCTGGGTGATCTGTTTTCTCATTTGTCCCCATCCAGCGCACCTGCCCCACAGCCCATTGTTTAATAACATGAATGATTCACCTGACCGCAGGACACCCCCAGATACCAGTGTTTTGTAAAATGCTTATCCTGATTTTAGAGCCTGATAGCTCTCCCTCTCTCTCTCCCTCCTCTCTCTCCCTCTCTCTCTCTCTCTCTCTCTCTCTCACCCACCCACCCACCCACACACACACACACACACACACACGGTTGTCTATGGGGGTTGGTTCTGGGACACCCTCCACACACAGATGCCAAAACCCATGCAAACACAAGTCCCTGGTAAAATGGGGCTGCACACATTCTTCGTGCACTTTACATCATTTCTAGATGGCTGTGCTGTGTTAGACCGTTTTGTTTAGGGAACAATGATTTTTTAAATGCCTGTACATAATCAGTACAAACACAATATTTTTCTCAATTTTTTTTTTTTTTTTAAATTTAAAGATAGTTAGGCAGAGCAACAGAGAGAAATGCCAAGACAGGAGTTCTTCCATCTGCCGGGTCACTCCCCCTAATGCCAGCCGCAGCCTTGGCTAGGCCAGGCCACCAGCATGGGTGGCAGAGGCTCTTGTACTTGGTTCACCATCTGCTGGTTTCTCAGGCTCCTTAGGGAGCTGGATTGGAAGCAGAGCAGCCAGGGCTCAAACCAGCATCCTGATACGGGATGCCGCTGGCTGCAGGTGGCATCTTTACCTGCTGTGCCCCAGTGCCAGCCTTGCCCAATATTTTGGACCCTTTGTCCATTGTCAAGGTTCAACAAGGACCCCAAGCAGCCCTCTTATCCCCCTCCCCTTCATTCCAGGATCGTTTGCTGTGTTGAATGCCCTTGTCTTTGACCAGACATCTTCTGTAACCTGGAACGGTCCCTCGGCCCCTTCTGCTCTGCTGTTGTTTCTCTGGGTTTTCTTCTTCCTTCAAGTTGACTATTTAACGATTTTGTTTATTCGAAAGGCAGAAGGAAAGAGATCACGATGTTCCATCTGCTGATTCTCTCCCTCAAATGCCTGCAACAGCTCAGGCCAGGCCAGGCTGGAGCTGGTGGTGGGGAACTCAGTCCGGATCTCCCTCGTTGGGGGCGGCAGGCAGGGGCCCATCCACAGGAAGCCGGACACACCTGCACCCAGACGCTCTGATACGGGATGTGGACGCTGGGGTTTGGGGAGGGGGGCGCAGTCCGGTTCTCCTTGGCGTGGGTTCCCCCGTGACCTGCCCGCCGGAGTCGCGTTTGCGGTGCCTGGTGCTGAGCCTCTGTCCTCTCTCTCCGCCTTTCTTCCCAGGTGGAGAAGATCCGGCAGGTGAAGGCCAAGTCTCTGTACCTGCAGGTGGAGAAGCTGCGGCAGCACCTGAGCAAGCTGGAGAGCACCATCAGCGCCGTGCAGCAGGTGCTGGAGGAGGGCAGGGCGCTGGACATCCTGCTCGCCCGAGACCGGATGCTGGCCCAGGTGCAGGAGCTGAAGACCGTGCGCAGCCTGCTGCAGCCCCAGGAGGACGACCGCGTCATGTTCACGCCCCCCGACCAGGCCCTGTACCTTGCCATCAAGTCCTTTGGCTTCGTCAGCAGTGGGGCCTTCGCGCCTCTCACCAAGGCCACCGGCGATGGCCTCAAGCGGGCCCTGCAGGGCAAGGTGGCCTCGTTCACGGTCATCGGCTACGACCACGACGGTGAGCCGCGCCTCTCGGGAGGGGACCTCATGTCGGCCGTGGTCCTGGGCCCTGACGGCAACCTGTTCGGCGCGGAGGTGAGCGACCAGCAGAACGGGACGTACGTGGTGAGCTACCGGCCGCAGCTGGAGGGCGAGCACCTGGTGTCGGTGACCATGTGCAACCAGCACATCGAGAACAGCCCCTTCAAGGTGGTGGTCAAGTCGGGCCGCAGCTACGTGGGCATCGGGCTCCCGGGCCTGAGCTTCGGCAGCGAGGGCGACAGCGACGGCAAGCTGTGCCGCCCCTGGGGCGTGAGCGTCGACAAGGAGGGCTACATCATCGTGGCCGACCGCAGCAACAACCGCATCCAGGTGTTCAAGCCCTGCGGCTCCTTCCACCACAAGTTCGGCACCCTGGGCTCCCGGCCCGGGCAGTTCGACCGGCCCGCCGGCGTGGCCTGCGACGCCTCGCGCCGGATCGTGGTGGCCGACAAGGACAATCATCGCATCCAGATCTTCACCTTCGAGGGCCAGTTCCTGCTCAAGTTCGGGGAGAAGGGCACCAAGAACGGGCAGTTCAACTACCCTTGGGACGTGGCGGTGAACTCCGAGGGCAAGATCCTGGTCTCGGACACCCGGAACCACCGGATCCAGCTGTTCGGGCCCGACGGGGTCTTCCTGAATAAGTACGGCTTCGAGGGCGCCCTCTGGAAGCACTTTGACTCGCCGCGGGGTGTGGCCTTCAACCACGAGGGCCACCTGGTGGTCACCGACTTCAACAACCACCGGCTCCTGGTCATCCACCCCGACTGCCAGTCAGCGCGCTTCCTGGGCTCGGAGGGCACGGGCAACGGGCAGTTCCTGCGCCCGCAGGGCGTGGCCGTGGACCAGGAGGGGCGCATCGTCGTGGCCGATTCCAGGAACCACCGGGTCCAGATGTTTGAGTCCAACGGCAGCTTCCTGTGCAAGTTCGGCTCCCAGGGCAGCGGCTTCGGGCAGATGGACCGCCCGTCCGGCATTGCCATCACCCCCGACGGCATGATCGTGGTGGTAGATTTCGGCAACAATCGAATCCTCATTTTCTAATCGCAGTGGCTCGGGTTCCGTGCTGGGGGGGGGGGGCGTGCACACGTGCGTGTCTGTCTGTCTCTATCTCCTCTCTCCCTCCCTCTCTCTCTGTTTTTGAATTTCAAAGAAGTAACCATCTCAGGGAAATTTTTTCTTTTCTTTGTCTAAAGAGAACAAGAGAAGTACAGCGTTGATTCTTACCTCATCTTTATTTCTTTACAGATGAATGTAACAGTGTCCTTTGCGCAGGGGTGGAGCCTGTGGAGTGACACTTTCTATCTACCTCATGGATCTATGTTTCCTTCTCAGACAGGCCCAGGGGCCCTCCTGCGCGGGTTCACACCTGCCCGGGCCGTGGCGGGCTGCGCGCACACTGGCCCTGCAGCTGTTGGGTGTGCGTGTGCGTGTGTGTGTGTGTGTGTGTGTGTGACGGGATGCATTCTGTAGGTTGAGCCAAGGAAATACAAGAAAACTACTAAGTTAAAAAAAAACTATAAAACTGGAAAAAATAGGATTTTAAACTGCATACGGATAGAGTGTGTTCTCGAGAATTCTGTGTTTCTGTGGGGTTAGATTGTGTGGTGTGGTTTTGAACTTGCTGGAAAATCTTTTTTTTAAAAAAATGCTGCAGCAGAGAACGCTTCCTCTGTTTTCCTCGTCTACCTCAGCATCTTTGCTCGTTCCCTAGGAGAGGTGGCTGTGGCTGGGCAGCCGAGAGCGGCAGCCCGAGCGGCGAGCTGTAGGGTGGCTGGTCTCTGTTTTCGGGGGGGTGGGGGAGGGAGGGTGCACCCGGATCGTGACACCCTGCCTCCCAGGAAACCTTGTCCCCCCACACGTTGGTTTCTGAACAGTCGATCTAGCTCGGCCTTGGATTCATAGTCTCAGAAGTGAAGTATGCTTATTTTGTTATGGGCCATAAGGAGTTAGGCGGAAGCAAGGAAGGGGGGCGATGCCCCTGTTTTCAGGCGTGGACTGTGGGTGGGCACGCCTGTGCTGTGAAGGGGTCAGCCAGCCAGGCAACCCCCTCCCCCCAGACGTGGACTCTGCAGAGGGGCAGGGCGGGGGTCCTCCCGCCTCCCATGGTGAATGTTGTTCCATTCCTGTAGCGCCAGGAGTTTCTTGTCTTATCGAAGAGCAGACGGATGGATGAACTTTCATTTTAAAAGCACAATTTCTTCCTGCTTTGGAAGTTCAGGGAAAGAGGAAGTCTGCGAGTCGGATGATGCGTATGATCGGCCCGGCCCCATACCCTCCGCTGGGCACCCGTGGTTACCGTGCCCCCCTCCCCCAAGGCCTTTGAATGTAAATGGTTTGTAAACCAAATCAGCTCCCGAACCTGAAATGTGTAAGGTGTGCTATCTAGATTCGGTACCAAAGAAGGAAAACGGAAGCCCAGTGCAGGACCGTGGGCTGCTGCTGCTGCCACCGCCGGACCTGGCCCGCGACCTGGTGCTCTGGCCTTCGGCTGGTCTCCCTGGTGGGACCCCGGCGCAGCTGCGAGTGTGTCCCCCAGGACCCAGAGGGGTCCCTGCGTTCCCCCAAATCCTGAAGTGAGAACCAAATCCCAGAGGACCGAGAGGTGCTGTCCCTAGGGAGTCCTCTTGTGTAAACACACTGACCGGTGGATCAATTTCAGTTTCGGTTCCTGTTTTTTTTCTGAGAGATTTCTGTTGCGGAGTGGACGTGGTTTGCTGTGCGCTGAGTCCGTTGAGAAGTGGAGCGATCTGCTTTGGTCATTCCCCCAAAGAAGTGAGTCCATTGGGTTGTGTTGACCACCCACTTTTTTTGGGCATTACACTCTCCCGCCTCAAGCTGCCCTTTCTTCTTCCCACTGCTTTAACGTGAGGTTTTCCGAGACCCACAAAATGAGAAGGGAGGCAGCAGGAACTCAGCTGCTGAGTGGAAGCGCCTTGTCCCCCAGTTCCTATTCAGTTGCCTTATCTTTGCCTCTGAGTTCTGAGTGACTTGGTGCTGGTCTTTGTCCTCGGCCCCTTGATTGTCCAACGAATTGCCCTGTGAACACCAAAGATACAGTTGTCAATGCTTAAGCGCTGCTGTGTGGGGGGAGTTCTGCTCGGTGGCTGAAATGATCAGGTCTGGACGAGTGGCAGCTCAGAGCAGGTGCAGCGGTCCCCCGAAGCCAGTGGGTGGGTGAGCGGTCAGGGCGAGACATGCTGCCTCTGTGCCTGCACTTCGTGGTCCCGCTCCCCTACTTAGGATGGTTACACGGCTGGCATTTGGGAAGCGTGGTGGCATTTGGGAAGTTTTTGTTTTTAAAAAGCATTGGCCGCTTGTGGCTGTCTGAGATTAGCTGTTGGCCCATAGCGGGGATGGAGGTGCCAAGCACTTTGGAGATGTGGACTAGTCCACATGAAGACAAGGTGGGAAGAGCCAGGGTTTGGTGCTCCCTGGAGAGAGAGGGTATTGAGGATACTTGCATTTCAGCACCTGCCTCCTGCCCATTATGGGTGATGCTGGGATGAGCCTGGAGAGCGAGACCCTGTCGGCCCTGGGTGGCTCAGATCGGGTCAGGTGGCAGGGGTGGGATATGACAGCAGTGGATGTGTGGAGCTGCCCGTTGGATCAGGTTTGAAATCTCACCCTTAGGTAGCGGCTCTTTGGTTGACACCGGCTTAGCATTTCATAATGTCTTAAGAGCAACAGATTCCTTCTCTGTGGCTTTGGCCACGGGAAGCAGTCCTGTCTTGGAATCCATGCTCTATTGTGGCTGGCAAAGTGATGGAGCCCAGGGCCCCAGGCTGTACCCCGAGTGCACTGACTCCTCAATCCATACCCTTTAAGTCTAACTTACTTGCGGGGAGGAGAGGAGGGCATACAACAAGAGTACCGTAAATTATGTGTTGGGCCAAAAAAGTTGCCAGAAGAGACAGCCTGTGGAGTTGCAGGGGATAGCCGGAGACCCGCTCAGTCTGTTTTAGTCTAGTTAAGCCAAAGCTTAAGGATTTGAGGAACGAACTCTTTTAGGCTTGAAGCCACAGAATACTATTGCGTATGTGTGGTCTTCCTTTTCTGAAGATTTTAAGATGCTGTGTTCTGATAGATAGTTGAAAGAGATGCCAAAGTTTTAGGCTTGTTTTTCTGTTGCTTTAAAAATAATAAATAATAATAATAATACAATGGTGCCAAAAAAGTATTTAGGGTATTTATTTAAGACAACACTCTTTACATTTCCAACAGTCTGGGGCTGTATAAAAGTCGAAGTGTTTGTACCCACACATGATGATGTCACAGAGCTGGAACCTCCCAGCCCGCGCCGCCTTCTCCCTGGCTTCCTGCAGGCCAGGTGCACGGGACTCAGCACTCCCATGCCACTGTGTTTGTCTCGATCTACCTCACTGTTGGCAAAAGTCACCTACCTCATGTTAGCATCCGATGGGTCTCAAAAGGAGTAGTATTTATCCCGTGAGCAGTGAGTGGGAGCTGGAATCTACCTCTTAGAAGAAGAGACGTTTGCTTGAGTCTAGAACTGACTTGTCCCAGGAGAAGTGTCAGGAGTCATAAATCCAATAATCTGTAAGTCCCCACCTCCCCCAAAAAACAATAATAATTCACACCATTCCCATTTCCATTCAGTGCTAAGAAACTACTGGTCCGTCTGCTCTGTTGGAGGACTTAGAAATAAGGACCTTTAGGTCTTTCTCTTGAAGAGAAGAATATTTTATCTGTTTGATTGTCCACAGCGTCGCAGGGCTAGTTGTCGGCAGCACCCACTGTGGGAAGGGAATGAGCATCCTTTTGACTTCTTGATTGTATGTGCAGGCTGCCGCACCCAGCACGTGCGGTGCCCGGGGAAGCTCCTGTCACTCCTTTGTTTTGTTGCTAATTTGTTTTTCTACCAAAGGTAAACACATTGACGGGTTTTTGTTTTGTTTTTTGTTTTCCTTGTTTATTAAATACTTGAGAAAAGTCGAAAAGCACATTACCAGAAAATACTGTATTGACAGCCCTCTGCCTCCTTCTCCTCCTCTTCCTCCTCTTCCTCCTCCTCCCCCTCCCCAGGTCACATTTGGTTTTGATTGGAGAGAGGGTCCCGAGACCACTGTCGGTATCAGCAGTTGGGTTTATTGGAGAAATACCTCAATGATGTCTATTTTGAAAACCGATCTTACGGGTTATTAACAAGCCAGCCTTGTGGGGCGTTTTCCGTCATCATGTAACCAGTAATGGTTCTAAACGTTTTGTGTACCCACACGGTCTTAGACCTCCTTTTAATGATTGTATTAACTTACAAAACTCAGGTAGTCTTTTTCTTAAGGCTCTCTCTCAGAGCACACTGGCTGAATGTTGACGTGTGTAGCAGAGTGTTTACTTAGAAAACCAGCGTTGGCATCATGCCCCATGTTCCTAGCCGTCTGTGTAGTTGTCTGCAGACACACTTCTGGCGTTCCCTTGTTTGCAGGGTGGTAAGATGTCTTTTCCTCTAACGTCAATGCAGGTGAGGGTGGGTGGGTGAGGGATGTTTTTAACTAGCATGATAGGTGTACTTGGGGTGGGGGGAGGGTTGTTAGTATTTTTTTATGAATCTCGCTCAGTATGTCCCATTAGCTCTCATGCCTGGGCAAAAAGATGCTTTAATTTTTGAAGATAGAACGTGTGGCTCGGTTGAGTCTGCCTTTTTTTTTTTTTTTTTTTTTTTTTTAAAGGAAAGTAAATCCAGACTTGGGGAAATCAACAAGGGCTTGCTGCCTGGTGCTCATAGAAAATCTTGAACTTTTGTTGATTGTGCAAGGGCAGATGTGATTCAAGGCTTAGGCACCAGCTGAGTGACAGTCCCGGCTGTGGGCTCCTGGGGTGCCGCTGGCTGCCTCTCGCCACTGGGTGAAGAATGAAGACTTCACCCCAAACCTTTAGGCGGAAGTGGGTTTTTGTTTGTTTGGTGTTGGTTTTCATTTTTGTTTTTTTTTTTTTCCTCTTGGGATTTTCCTTTTGCATTTTGCATCACGATGGTTACTGTTGTAGGCCACAGGCATGACAGGCAATGAACAGGCGAGAACCAGTGGGAAAGTGTTCAAAAACTCCTGTGTTCGCTAACAGGTTTCTGAATGTATCGCTGTGGTCCACAGAGAAGGCTGCGCAGGGTAGCAAGGAGATGCTGTATCAGCTACCGCAGCCGTAAAACGAAGTTGCTGTCTCTCTGGACTTTAAAATTGTTCCTATGCAGCTTATTTTATTTTTGTTGAATCAAATAAACAAGAGGGTTTTTCCATGGACATGCTGTGTCTGCGTGGTCTTTGAGTCTGGTGTGAGTAAGGGGGTGTGCCCTGCGCCTGGTGCCCAGAAGGGACTGGAGGGGGAGCTTGCCTTTTGGCAGGGGGCAGATTGGGCCCCAGCACTGTTGTCAAGTGGGTAGGTGTCAGGTGGGCATTCTGGCGAAGGAGGCTTGTAGGCTAAGCTTCTGCCTGCAGCACCGGTTCGAGTCCTGGCTGCTCCTCTTCCTATCCAGCTCCCTGCTTATGGCCTCGGAAAGCAATGGAAGATGGACCAAGCACTTGGGCCTCTGCATCTGCTTGGAAGACCTGGAAGAAGCTCCTGGCTTTGGATCAGCCCAGCTCTGCCTGTTTGGGGAGCGAGCAGCCCAGTGGCTGGCTATTTGGGGAGCGAGCCAGTGGATGGAAGACACTCTCTCTCTGTCCATCTGTCTTTCCCTTCTCTGGTGTAATTCTAATTTTCAAATGGAAGGTTTTTTTAATTTTAAATTTAAAAATTTTTGCCGGCGCTGCGGCTCACTAGGCTAATTCTCCGCCTTGTGACGCCGGCACACAGGGTTCTAGTCCCGGTTGGGGCGCTGGATTCTGTCCCAGTTGCCCCTCTTCCAGGCCAGCTCTCTGCTGTGGCCCGGGAGTGCAGTGGAGGATGGCTCAAGTCCTTGGGCCCTGCACCCCATGGAAGACCAGGAGAAGCACCTGGCTCCTGCCTTTGGATCAGCGTGGTGCACTGGCCGCGGCGACCATTGGAGGGTGAACCAACGGCAAAGGAAGACCTTTCTCTCTGTCTCTTTCTCACTGTCCACTCTGCCTGTCAAAAAAATAAAAAAAAATTTAAAAAATTTTAAATTAAAAAGTAGAGCGAGGGCTGGCGCAGCGGCTCAATAGGCTAATCCTCCACCTAGTGGCGCCGGCACACCACGTTCTAGTCCTGGTTGGGGCGCTGGATTCTGTCCCCGTTGCCCCTCTTCCAGGCCAGCTCTCTGCTGTGGCCCGGGAGTGCAGTGGAGGATGGCCCAGGTGCTTGGGCCCTGCACCCCATGGGAGACCAGGAAAAGCACCTGGCTCCTGGCTCCTGCCACCGGATCAGCGCGGTGCGCCGGCCGCAGCGCGCTGGCCGCGGCGGCCATTGGAGGGTGAACCAACAGAAAAAAAGGAAGACCTTTCTCTCTGTCTCTCTCTCTCACTGTCCACTCTGCCTGTCAAAAAAATAAATAAAAAAAAGTAGAGCGAGATATGTGTGTGTGTGTGTGTGTATATATATATATATAAAAGATTTATTTTATTTGAAAGGCAGAGATAGTGATCTTCCATCCACTGATTTACTCTCCAAATGGCCACAACAACGGGGGCTGGGCCAGGCCAGAGCCAGGAGCTTCTTCCAGATCTCTTGTGGGTGCAGGGGCTCAAGGTCTCGGGGCATCCTCTGCTGCTTTCCCAGGTGCATTAACAAAGTTGTATCAGAGTAGAGCAGCAGGGACTTGAACCAGAGCCCATGTGCTGCAGGCTGTGGCTTCGACCTGCTGTGCCATAGCCCCGGCTCTGCCGGCAGCCCTTTAGAATGGCAGGTACGGTGTGTGGTTCCCCATGTACCATGATCCCCTGCTGCAGCCCATCTATGTTGAAAATGCCTCAGAACCTCTGCCTGGGTTGAAGGCGTGGGTCCTGGGGTGGGCAGTGATGTGCTGGGCCTGGGCCCCTGGAAGTGCCAGGTGGAGACAGACACGTTCAGAATTTCCCGTGGGGCTTGGTCCTTCCCTGGAAGTGAACTTCATCCCGCATTGCGCCCAGCGCTCCTGATCTGCATCCTCAGGTTTGACCTTGGACTCCAGGATCTGGCAAAGCAGAGACCACAGCAGATTCCACTACCTTCCAGAAGGTTTCTCCCTCACGAGGCCTTTCCTGCCATCACCTGGAACGTGTGGAGTTGGGGGAGATTTGGAAATCTTTTTTAAGATTTATTTATTTGAGAGAGTTACAATGAGTAGGAGAAACAGAGAGGTCTTCCATCTGCTGGTTCACTCCCCAAATGGCTGCTACGGCCAGAGCTGTGCCGATCCAAAGCCAGGAGCTTCCTCCAGTCTCCCACACGGGTGCAGGGGCCCAAGGGCTTGGGCCATCTTCTACTGCTTTCCCAGGTCACAGCAGAGAGCTGGATTGGAAGAGGAGCAGCCGAGACTAGAACCAGCGCCCATATGGGATGCCGGTGCTTCAGGCCAGGGCGTTAATCCACTGCGCCACAGCGCTGGCCCCATCCATCCACGTTGACTTTGAGCGTGAACAGTAGCACTTGCCAGGCGTGCGCTGTGGCACGGTGGGTTGGCCCACTGCTTGGGATTCCTGCATCCCCACTGGAGTACTGGGCTTGCATCCCCTTTGCTCCCAGTCCTTGCTAGTGTACCTGGGAAGGCAAGATGATGGCCCAAGTCCATGGGTTTCTGCCACCCACGTGGGAATCCCAGATGGAGTTCCTGGCTCCTGGGTTGTTGTGGCCATATGGGGAGTGAACAATAAAAATGAAATTTTTTTTTGACAGGTAGAGTTAGAGAGACAGAGAGAAAGATCTTCCTTTTTCCGTTGGTTCACCCCTCAAGTGGCCACTATGGCTGGTGTGTTGTGGCCTGCACGCTGTGCCGATCTGAAGCCAGGAGCCATGTGCTTCCTCTTGGTCTCATATGGGGGTGCAGGGCCCAAGCACTTGGGCCATCCTCCACTGCATTCCCGGGCCACAGCAGAGAGCTGGACTGGAAGAGGAGCAACCGGGACAGAATCTGGTGCCCCGACCGGGACTAGAACCTGAGGTGCCGGAGCCGCAGGCAGAGGATTAGCCAAGTGAGCCACGGCACCAGCCATGTTTTTTTTTTAAACAGTGTTTACCTCATTGATAACCTCCAAGATTGACACACTTGGATAGGTGGGTTCTTGAGAGACTCAGGCACAGAACTGGGGTTCTTCAGTTGGTCCCCATTCCCTTTTTTCCCAGTCCCCTCACTTCTATTTACCGTTTGTCCCTGGCTGGACAGTGGAAACCTTCTGAGGAATGCAAAAGTTGGGTGGATGTGCTCTTTGGAGGAGAGGGGAGAAGCTTTTCCTCCTTAATCCTCTCAAAGCCCTGAGAGGTGTTGATAAAATGAGGCAGGACCCAGTGTCAAGAGAAGTACACAGAAAGTTCTAGAAAGGATCAGGAGCCCATCCTCCATGCTCTTCCAGCTGGAACAGATGAGCTTGATAGGGCTCAGAGTTGGAAGGATGCCCCCCGCCCCCCCATCAGTGGCATGCTGCTGGGGCCTACGTTATAACCAGCATCCTGTATGGGCATGGATCCAGCTCCCTGCTACTGGCCTGCGAAAAGCAGTAGAAGATGGCTCGAGTGCTTGGGTCCATGTTACTCAAGTGGAGGACCCGGATGAAGCCCCTGGCTTCAGCCTGGCCCAACTGCAGCTGTTGGGGCCATCTGGGAACTAGACCAGCAGGTGGAAGATTCTGGAACTCTGCCTTTCAAATATTATTTTTATTTTTTGGAGCTGACAGCCAAGACTAAGGAACACAACAGGTACTGGCACAGCTGTGGAGAAGTTGGGACCCCCATGGCTGGTGGGATTCACAGTTGCCACAGACATGAGCACAGTGTGACACTTCTAGTGTCCAGCAGAGCCCGGCACTGCCCCTCTGTATCTGTCCAAGGGAACTGAAGACAAGCCCATGCGAAAGCCAGGCGCAGGAATCTCATAACAGCGTTATTCATGAGTGTCCCCGCCTGATGGCCACATAAACAGATATCCCCACAGTGGGATATTGTTCAGCCACAACAAGGCCGTGTTGATGTATTTGAAGTATGGGCGAGTTCAAGAACATGTTAGGTGAAAGAAGCCAGACCTCTCTGTGATGCCCTGAGCAGGGAGATAGAGGCCAACGGCTTCATGGTTGCCAGGGATTAGGGGGAGGTGGGAGTCAATGCTAGGGATTTTCATTTTGGTAAATAAGAATGCTCCGGAATTGGGTGATTGTCTCATAACTTGATGAATATCCAGAAATCCCTGAGCTGAACCTGTTGGGTAATTTTTTTTCTTTTTTAATTATGATATGTGAACAAGCTCATCAAAAAAAGAAAAAGAAAAAGCGGTGCTGTGGCCAGCATCCCACGTGGCAGGTATTATTACCATGGGTCTTTGTCTCACGTGGAAGAGGAATTGACAAGCAGACAAGACAAGGCAAAGAGGGAAATGAGATTGATTAGATTCCAGCCGGAGAGGCAAAACCTGAAGTGGTCTGTGACAGTGGAGTTGTGTGTGTGTGTGTGTGTGTGTGTGTTTTTTGTTTGTTTTTTTTTTTTTTTTTTTTTTTTTTTTTTTTTTTTTGACAGGCAGAATGGACAGTGAGAGAGAGAGACAGAGAGAAAGGTGTTCCTTCGTCATTGGCTCACCCCCTAGTGGCTACTGCAGC